GAGGATTCGCGCACGACGTTGCCTCGAACGGCCGCCCCCGTGTAGCCGCCCCGAATGCCGTCGTCAGACCGTCCTCGCGGGACAGTGACACCGTTTTTCCCCAAAATCGGCATAATAATACCTCGATCTTCCCCCCTCAGCGTTGTCGGCGACGTCGAGCGCCGACTCCGATGGTCTTCGATCAGCTTGCTCGACAGCTTCGTCAAAGTCTTATATACGGTACGCGCGTCGTCCGCGTTTCCTAGATTTGCGAGACAGCTCCCAATGTAGATCGAACGTTATTACGTTTTCCCCTAAAATTAAAGCTACGCTACGCGTCGAAGTGGGGACTCGTTACCTGTAAAAGGGCGATGTGTATGTATACATATATACAGGTGACTCGTGGCACTAGAGTAAGCGACGATGTTCGTGAATCGCGGACAAAGACGAATAATGAAATCGTGCGATCTACGAATCGTGAATATAAGAAAAATATTGAAATATTAAATTTAATAAGCTCGTTTTGAGAGCTTAAATATTACAAAATTTCGTGTTTAATATTAATGCATATTTTTAATTCCTTTTTCTTTTTATCGTAAGAGGAACTTCATTATATACATATCTCTTGTATCTGCTTCTATTATAAAGTTTCATGGTTTATGTCGAAATTTAAACAATTACGCTGTAATCTATAAACATTTATTATACTTATAAACTTATAAATAAGTATTAAAAACAAAGATATGTATTTTTTAACAGTTGCATATTAACATGTCGCGAATCACATCGATATTAAATTTATTGTTAGCTGTAGTTGAGAGTCCACGCTTTTCTAACATTTGTCATGTTACTTGAAAACATTACATCGTTCTCGTCGCGGATAACTTCGCGATACACCCTGTACATAATCGTGCGTACACACATAGGCCGGCAGCTTGTTGACACTAGCGCTTCTATCGGTGGCGTCACGAAATACAGGCGGCCGCATGCGTTCCTGTTGAAAAAATTCCTCACGGGCGAAAGTCAAGGTATGACGGAATATCGCATTGACCGAGCCGAGCCAGGGGGCCGGACTTGGGTTGGAGGGACAGCCTCCCAGCACGGCGTGCTTCCCTGGTAACAGGAGGGGCTCGGCGAGACAACCCGCGCGAAACTCTGTTCAACGTAGGGAGAGCGGGCCGCCTTGCATTGGCTCCTACTGCCGCGTGCTGCTCGGATACCGTGGTGCTCGCATGCGGGATTGAGCACGCACCACGTGCTCGTCACCGAGCCAAGCCGGCCAGACTGGGGTGACATCGGCGGCGATCGGGCTCGTCGTCCCATTGCCGCACCGTTGAGTTTCCACCACGCTTCTGCGCTATACGGCACGTACAGGAGCTCTTTGAAGAATAGGTTTATCGATCAACGTCCTGTGTATGCGCGACGCACGTCATCACGTATCAATATTGTATCCCCGTGTCTAGAGACTCCGAGGTAGTTTCATTAAGAATCATAAGGATGATGGAAATGATTTAGTAATAAGGAAATTGCTTATGATTACTGTCTAATAGGTATAGCATAAAAATTGTCTCAAGCATAAAGTTAAAAAAGTATCCGATGTCTGTGTATAAAGTTTTCTCGATTTTTAAATTTTATTTAAGAACTGTAATATATATTAGAATATTTTACACGTGTCATATGTTATTAACTATCATGTTTGATAGAAAATTTATGACACATCAAAAATTAGTTTGTCCGTACGTAGGTTTTTTCAGTTTGTACGGATAAGTACACGTAGCAGTCGTGGCCGAGTGGTTAAGGCGTCTGACTAGAATCAGATTCCCTCTGGGAGCGTAGGTTCGAGTCCTACCGACTGCGTAAGTGGTGATATTTTTTTTGTCATTGCAATACGTTTTTGCAATATTACAGAAATACTAGCATTATTTTATTTTTATTTTCATTACGTTCATCTGCAAGCATACAGATTATTTTATCATAACTTTAATACAATTAAAATATATATATCAAATTATAATATAACAATTCAAATGCGATATAAAATTTTATTTTTTATATTTTGTATAGTTGTGTAAAACTTTAATATACATTATACATGTATATATATTTATATTATAGGTAATTAACATATAATTAACTATATGTCATAAATTTTCAAGACGGAATTAAAAATTCCTCGATAGTATAGTGGTTAGTATCCCCGCCTGTCACGCGGGAGACCGGGGTTCGATTCCCCGTCGGGGAGGATTTCTTTTTTCTTTTACTTTTCGTTTCTTAATATTCTGAAATCTTATCTAAAAATATCGCACTTGAATTAAGCTTTGTAATATATATTATATTCGTCTTGTGCGCTATTTTTAATATGCGCTTCGATATAATTGTTTCAAAAAATTGCAATCTTATTTATAAATTTAAAAAATTTTAAGAATTTTTAAAAATATTCTTATATATATTATATATCATAGATTATATACTTAACAATAACTCTAATTTATTTAGTGATATTATATCAATAAGGTAATTATAATATACAATTTAGAGGCAATTGATACACAATTACAAGTTTAAATATGAAGCAACTACTGAAGAAATTAATATTTTCAAGGAAAATTCAAAGGCGCCGTGGCTTAGTTGGTTAAAGCGCCTGTCTAGTAAACAGGAGATCGGGGGTTCGAATCCCCCCGGGGCCTTGTAGGGATAATTTTTATCATTTTGAATTACCAATAATATATATTTTTTGTAAAACTTTAATTGATAATATACACCTGTAAATATTTCATATGGTGACTATAGAGAGTTCGATAACTTCATTAAGAATGAAGAGAAATCTATAAATACATGCGCTAACAATAAGATAAATTTTATTTCAATAAAAGTTACAAAGACGTGACTGTTACATATCCATGCTTAATCGCTATACAAAATATTTAAGTTTATTAAAGTATATATGAACTCTCTTATAATCATCTTTTACATCTTTAATACATTTTTTACAATATAAATCAGTGCGCTCATATTCTACATTATATGTATATGTTTTAATATTAATTAAGCAGTATAAATAATGATTAGTTTTATTTATAGTTATTTTAAATAGTTATTAAAAGTTGAATTTGTATCCATTTCCAGAAACCTTTACATGTGCTACTGATGGGGCAGATGAATAAGCGATTCCTAGCAAACTTTGTGGTCGTTCCGATTGCGGTTCTTGTCGTTGCAACTGGATCTGTTCAGGTACCTGTGCACAGTTACTATTGACAAAAATCATACATAACACTCATACATACAATAATAATTTTTTTCTAAGCATAATTTAAAAATAATTTTTAATCAATTTTATTAATAAATAATTTAAATACTATAGACAGGAAAAGATAACATAATTGCAATATTTTAACTTAATTCTTTAATTTTTATTATTTTTATTCTATCTTCAATATAAAATTACCTGCTCTGACTGAACAGTTTGTAATAACTGTCCTTGTTGAGCTTGTGCAAGCTGTGCCTGTCTAAGAGCAAGCAATTGCCCTAATTGTAATTGAGAAACAGTATTCGGTTGGTATGTATTTAATATGCTTGTGGCTGCTGCAATTGCTGCGTATATGCTAATGCAATAGCGGGATCTATAGCATTAGCCTGATAAGTTAATGGTCCGGTTTGCGGATGCACCAAGAGTCGGATGTTGTGGAACCGATGCATAGCCATTCGCGATAGTACCAAGTGGATAATATCCTATAATTAAAAATTTCTACCAACTCGTCGAAAATTTATCCAAAATTAATTTTTCATTTTTTCTACCTTTGATTTTGCAAAATTTAAAATATAAAATTATATATGTTTTATACAAAATTCATCGTAGTAAAAAAAAAAATAATAATTTGATACATTTTATATTTTAATACGAACCTAAGCTAGGATTTCTTTGGGCGAGAACGTGCGCTAAACTTGGCAAAACTTTTTTGCGCTAACTGAGGATTGCCGATGCTAGAAGCAAAATATTGATGGAGCTCGGTCCACTGAATGCAAATGACGTTTGCGTTAATCCTGGCCGGATAAAACTGAAAGAAGTATGTTGCTCGGGACTTCCTATTACGTTCGGCTTTGCACTTTGAATCGGTGGCTCAGCTGTGACGAGATAACACAATGCACCGACAATATCACCTGTTTCTGCAAGTTACAATTTATAAGCTCAATCGATATTTGTGAGAATAAATACGGTATTTATTCTTTAACATTGTATGTAATAGTCAATTGTAAAATCTTGAAAAAGGATAATTTATAACAGAAAAGAGAGAAAAAAAGGAAGAGAACAGTGATTATTCTTATCGATTATCATTAAAAAAATGTTACATTTTAATTTAATTAATGCGACGGCAATACACTTCATAAAGTATTAAACAATTAATTATAAAATGATTAAAAAGCCTCTTGTAAAAATTACAAAAATTATAAAATGCAGAGCTATATAATATATATTTTAATATACATATTTGATATAAAAATACAAAATAATATACTTGTAAATATTCTCTACATCATAAATCTGCTTGTGTTACTTACCAACATTATCGGAAAAATTACAGAAATTCTTGATGTGATGATATCCGTATGATAGAAGCACAGTCGACAAAAATCACGATGGCATTACGACGCTAAGAATTCTGTGGGGAGCTATATACTACGGAAGCAATTGGCATGAAACGTGAGTAGCATCCGATCGACATCATTTCAGTGAACACTTCTCCAGGATATCAGTGTATTGAACAATTCATGAATCGTAATCAGATAATAAATAATTTCTCAAAATATGACAGTACAAATCATGGAACAATAAGATAGGAATATTGAGCAATATTCGTTTTTTCATTATAAGTAGAAATAGCAAGTTCCTAAACAACATTTTTATCACAATTAAGATCATTGATAATGGAGAAAGTTGCTTTCAGAATGCCTAATGCGACAACAATGTAGTCGTACGATGAGTATTAATTGCAATCAAGTAGACGATTGTGGAATGTTAAATATTTCATTGCTAACGTTTTTATTTTTTTTATGTTTACATGAAATTTTTGTCAAATAGAATCACTACAACGATTGTACTACAGAAAACATTCACGAGAACATTACTAACTTAATCTTGTTTTTATCTATATGCCATATAAAAAAAACTTGTTAATATACTATAATATTTTTAACAAGACCGAAATTTTAAGTTTCAAAAAGTTGTCTTCATCTATAATACAACTGGTATTATATTTATTGCCATATGTATTACAAAATTTTACATATAATAATTTTACATAATAATCTTACATCATAAATTGTCATTCTAATTATTTGACAGTAGGCATATGTTAAAATAGATAATCTGAAAATATGTATTTTAATGGACAATGCTATGATTTTAATAATGACTGATAATTTCTGGATGAATTAATGGAGATTTGTGCGATGTTCCGAATTTCTCTTAATAGATCTTTTCATATGTTGGAGAAATATGATTGATAAAACATTCCCATAGCGCTAGTCGCAAATAATGCAAAGCAACTCCACCATGTTGCCAATCCTAAGATACCCCTGTAAACATCTGTAGTAAAGATCTATAACAAAAAAAATACATTCTTTTATATTATAAAATATAACAAGATTTAATATTATCACGTTTTAAGAAAAGATTATCTTGTTAATATTTTTCTCATAAATATTTGAGACATCACCTGCTTTAATGAACTTAGTGCAAGATGAGTTCTTCAGCAGTTTCTATAACAGTCTTATCAGTATTATCATTGCTCGTGTGCAATAAGAATGATTTCGGTAATTCGTCTGCTGGACACTCTTCTTCTAGCGTTCCTTTTAAAATACCTTCCCAAGTAAAACCACCTAATTCAACACAGATACATTAGAAGAAACATAGTTACATCATTACAGGCTGTATTTCATAAAAAATATTTTTCTTACCGAGCGTTTTGTAGAGAAATGTAAAAAATAGACACATAATTATTGGAACAACAAATTGTAGCGCAACCACACATAGATAATAATATACAGCTGCAATCTGTAACATAGAAAATAAAACTCGTTTTTTATTAAATATTTACAGGAGAGAAAACTCCTTTTATTAAGATAATTATTATTTTTAATATATGACAATAGTATACAATCATTATGACATACCTTTTTCTGCAATCAACATTAGTTATTCTACCAGCTTCTTTTTCTGTATTTCTAATCTTTGTATGGCGAGATTTAAGTAAGATTGTAAATATATTGGCATGAGTATCATCTTTAATAAAACTGCAACGACGATAATAATCAATCTCATGCTTTCAAAGCTTGCAGCTGTCATTCTGTAATAAAAATTTTTAATTATTTTTTATATTTATTTCTAATTTAATTTAAGTATATAATATATATTGACTTACAACGGATCAGTCATACCGCTAAATATTCGAACGGTCAAATAATCCCTGCTGATAGGTGTAATCCATAAGCTAATCAATAGCAATGGTGAGACATAGCTAATATTTGCTATTAATAACAATACTTTGTGGTCTCTATAATACCTGCAATTATTTTTATATAGTAAAATAATTAGTATTCAATATAGATTAAATTAAATAAAATGTATAATTACCTTAATGTATCCCAATGCATTTTTGATACTCTTAATCCTGGGAAAGTGAATAACGATCCCAATAGACCACACCATATAGCGAGAAAAAACTTTACAACTATTTTTGAAGCTGGCCCCCTGCATTAAAAATAATAGTCTCTCATAATTATTAAATAACATTATATAAACAAATATATAATTTTCAATAAACCTAAAAACAATTATTAACTAATTCTTCAACATGTATTATTATCAAATTAATTATATAAGTAACTAATTAAATCATGGAATAGATTTAAGAAAATTGTTAATAATGATGTATTATGTGATCAACTCACGTGGAAGAAAGTCCTTGAGTATCTAAAAATCGAGAAGCGCTATAATTAAAACTTGTATATGCCTTTTCCAAGCCGATTTCCACTTATTTTCATCAACTATAAGTACCATCATAGCAATAAGCAAAGAAGATATGCAATCCAGTAACAATACATGTAGATCTTTCACCTACACTTTCCTCTCCTTTGAAATATTGTACCCAAAGGGAAAGTAGTACTTTACTATAAATTATGTAAGGAACATCGCACAGTCTTTCTTTCCTCTATATAATATAATTTCATTATCTCTCCAAAAATACGAAATTTAAAATAAATTCTTTAATAGGGATTTGAATTCAAAGGATACAATGCAAAACCCAAAACTACCAAACACCACAGTACACTGAGATTAATCTCATCTTTGATTGGATATAAATAACTGTATACCTGTTAAACAATAAAAGAAAATTAGATCAGTATTACAAAATACATACTATATGAATTATAAATATAACAATAATTAATAGAAAAATTATTTAGAGAAAGATATATTTATATAAATATAGATACATCCATATATTTATATAAATAGATATAGGTATTCATATTATATAAGTAATGATTAAACAAACCTCTGTCAATATATAAACAATAGTAGCATATAAAGAGAAATCCAACAGCCATTGATATTCAGTATAATATTTTAAATGCACAATATCGAGTGCAGTCACTTGTGCACTTTCAAGCTGGATATCTAAATTTCTAGGAACATGAAACACATCTCCCACTTTGCCGTTCTCACTGTGTTTTCCTCTCTTTGGTTTCTCCTTTGGCACACCAGCTAATGTTCTAAGTTGCTGATCTGTTGGATACAGATAGCGTGTCAATCTATGTAAACAAAAAAAAGAGTGATTTGAGATTTTATCATTTTAGTATCATCACAATTGTTTCTTATAAATATGCATGCAAATACATACCCAGTAGAACACAAGAGCCATCTTGCAAAAGAAAAATGTGGACTTAACTTTTGTATAACGCTGACCATTACAAGAGTGATGACCAGTTGCGCTCCTAAAAGAGCCTTAAAAAAAAATTAACAGATTGTATAACGCTCTGCCATATTGCAAGGAGAGTAAATAAATGACAAGAAACATAATTTTAAGAAATACATAGAATATACAATTTCCATATGAACATCGCAGATAAACTAGATTCATTGTTAAGATTACCATGTTTAATTGGATGTGCTCTGACTGTTGACAAATTCTCACAAACAAGACTGCTCCATTGGAGAAACAATGTTTCCAAAAATTTTAACAGGTGTTGAAAGAAACGATGACGAAATATATCCAATTTGCTGCGAGTAATGTTTGCTCTACCATCTTAACAAGCATAGTCCGTCCCCGAGCTAGTTTTATAAATAGTTATAACTGGCGCATAATACCGAATGAATACATCAAAATACCTCGCACATGGGATACGAGGTTATTTCCAGTTATCCGTCACCCTGTACCTTCAGCAAAGAACAGAACGAATAGTGTCATCTGGTTAAGAATATCGGAGAACTGAAGGAGCATAATTACCATATGCTGATTATATGATATAAATCAAAATTGGAGTAAAATTTTTTATTTAAAAAGTGCACACGCAATCAACAATAATTATTAATTATGCTAGTAAAATAAATCTATACTAAAAATGCATAATACAAGTCTATTGCAATAAGATATTTTATGATTTACATTCTACATGTACTTATTGTTGTTATGGCTATATAATAATTTCACGTCACAAAATTACATAATTAAACAAAGGATAAAAAATATTTTGCAATGTGGAATATATGCGCATATTTTTATTTCACGTTTGGTCTCTTTCTTGTATAATTATCGCTCTACCCGCAGGTATAGACAATAATAGTAATAGTGCCATTACGTAATTTTATATTTGATCCTGATATAACATATGTTCAAATATCCGAGAAAAAAGTTTATTTTACATAAATTATCCACATATATATGCAATGTTTTCACTTTTTCAATTAGTTTAAAAAAAAAAACAATACGAAAAATTATTCTAATTATTTTTCAATTATTTTCTTTATTATTAATTTATATACGAACGGAAATTACGCGGAAGAAAGAAAATATATGGATATATATATTTATATATTTAATTATACACATAATATATAGAGGTGATTTTTCGAGCTTTTTAAATTTAAAAAGGAAAGTGAAATAAAATAAAGAAATATTTTCATATCTTAATACGATTATTATAACTCGATAATTAAAATTGAAAATATAGAAACATTTTATTAATATACACGATAAAAAAACTAGCGATAAAAATATAACACAATAATTATAAATAATTTTGAATAATAGAATGTTGGATGACTTATGTTGTAGAAAATACTCAGTAGATCATCAGAAATTTCCCAGAAATATATTTTCCATGCATTAATGAATTTATTTGCATCTCGGAAATTCCGAATCCTTGATTACGCAATGGTTAATATGTAATTCTCCAATGTCTTTTAAACAGGTTTCAAATTGTTCAATTAAGTATTGTCATTGTTAAGTATGTCTATAGATTAACAATGACGTAGCCATTGGAAAAATTATTTATTATCTTAATCGACAATCGAACAACCATTTCTAGGAACACACGTCATCATTTATAACCATGACATAATTTAATAGAGAGAAGAGAGCCATTATTAGCACAATTATATAATCAGTACAACAAAAATAATATTCATTTTCATTAATTATTTAAACATGTTAACATGTTTTATGCTTTATACAAATTAACAATAAATATTCTATTTTAAAAAAAAAAATATTAATTACATACATATATATTGTGATAGTATTTTTAAATTGGCAATTTCTAAAAATTGTTTCAAATAAAGTAAAAATATACGCATTGCATATAATTTATTACTTCTGATAATTTATTAAGCAAACTTTCAATTTGAAATATAAACATTCTTTAAATGCGGGTAGATGCGGGAGGGATGCATAGAAAAATGTTTTTCACCCGTATGTGTGTGTGTATAACGCAAAGATATATTACAGCTATTGCATTTTATTTTTAATTAGAACTTATAATAGAAAAACCGTAAAAAGAGAATCTTGAACGAATAAAAAAATAAAAACGCATTACGCTAACATAAAGACACCCGCTAAAAGCAATTAATAAAGATCTTTTTTATTTCTATTCTTCAGAGTGACTATATATATAATTATATCGCTTATCATCTTTTCTTTTAAATCCGTCTATAATGACTTCTCGTGTCATTGTTTCTTTTCTCTTACAAACTATTTAGGAATATTATTTTATCAAGTGTCAGTCACAGATAATGATATAGTTTCAAATTTTTGTTTTCAGCCTGCTACTGCTATCAATTTAACCTGTGGAAATACATCCTTAAAAATTAAAAGAGCGGAGCTGGAGGTATAAAACAATGCGTCCAACAGTTCGCGAGATCATATGCTGTTCAGTGCGCGACAAGTGTAGATCGCAAATTAATTGCAGGTTTGTAATATATGTTTGTGTCCGTTTTCGTGTCTGAGAAGACTAATGAACAATATTTGTTTTTATTCGCGATAATCCAAACAGTACAACATTAAAGATCGAACAACGTGCGTAATGAAATTTCATTATATACCAATTTGTGAAAATTCAGAAACAGTATAATTCATTCTTTGATAATAATTCTGACAGTTTTTAATTCAATTTAATTCGGCAATATAGTAATTTTGCATTTGCTTAACGTGTGAATTAATAATTTGATGAAGAGGATTTTATATAAACAAAAATTATTATTCAACTTTATTATTCAAATAATAATTTTTTTTATTTTTAATTTTTCTTTTCTACTTTTTACGTAATGATTATTGATTTATGATATATAATAATATATTATTTTTTTACTCAGATAACTATGTTAATCAGAAATGATGATAATGCTATATACAAAAAGTACATGTAGAATTTCATGGCCATTCGAGTGCTATGAGTAACATCTAAAATCAGATTAACAGATCTAACAATAAGTGCGACCTACGTGTTTTATGCGTATTACATTTCCGGATTCTCATTTCTAGGATGGTGTCAGTAATTTTACACAAAAATAAATCTATACTAAAAATGCATAATACAAGTCTATTGCAATAAGATATTTTATGATTTACATTTTAAGTGTACTTATTATATTTCATATATATATTTTTATTGTTAATAACATTTATTATTATATTATATATATTATATATTATTGATAATGCGTCGCAATAAAAATATAATTAATGAATATATATATATATATATATCTTTTGGATTTCTTTATAATTATAAGTTTAATTTAAAGGACTATTTCACCATAACATTTTATTTTCCACAGCTTATCAAGGAATAATGATGTCGTTGATGTTGAGCGCACTTTTACTTGTCACCTTAGCAGGGACCATCTCTTCCGACTCTTCATTTATTCAAAAATGTACAACTAATTTGGAATGTCCAACAGACCATTGCTGTTTGCTAGGTTTGTGTCTTTTTGTCATATTAAAATACTTTCTATATTCATATTTTTTATATTAATTTATAAATCTATATACATTTAATTCATATAAGATAGTTTTATAAAAAAATTATGTAGTAAATAGTTCCCAAATATCTGATATATACATATATTTTATATTATATACTATTATTATACTTTTAAATATATATACTTTTAGTTAAGGATTACCATCAAAGATTTTGACAGCAATGTGTGTGTTTAATGTTACTGATATATTTTCATATATTTTCAGGACCTTCAAGATTCGCGATACCGACTTGTATGCCATTTCAACAGAAGCGCGAACAATGCCGAGTAAACGCTGATACTGTTACGGCTAATTTGACTTATCCGAATTCGCGGTCTTTAGAAATTAAAGAGATCCATTTCATCTTATGTCCTTGTGCAGATGGATTATCTTGTAAGCATGGTATCTGTAATTAAAAGTGCGTTTTATATCAATTTAAGTATGATCAAAAATATTAATTATAACAGACGAATTGTTCAGTGAGAAATATATTATTATGTGACGAAGTAATTTTAGTTGCACATTTTTCAATCACTTGATCGTCATAATCAATATTTAGGAAAATTAACACATATTGGTGCCTATAGTTATAATTATAATTAATAATTTGAAATAAAATTTTTTATTGATTATATTAATATTTATTTATATAGAAATAATATTTTTATATATACACAAGACATTTAAAAATATATTTATAACAAGAAAGGTTTAAAAAAAAACGTAATTGTTGGAATATACGGAATAGAGAGAAAGAGAATGCAATTTTTATTACTATTTATATTTTTTACACTTTGGACAATATCTGTCTAAAAATTTTTCATGAAATAATTATGCTATTCAATGGAGATCCGAACATATACATTAAGTTTAAAGATCTGACTTTAGACGCATCTGGAACATCAAACATGTTTGGGATATAGCGTATACGTCTTGCATTAATCAAAAAATATTAATTCTTTCAAACGTTAGTAAAACATTTTGTTACATTTGTTGCATGAAAATATATATATATTTACGGTAAAAAATATAATTTGCCTCTCTTCAAATATATATAATATATATTAAAAAACAAATATCTCTCTTTAAATAAAATATACATATATGTATATTCATATATGCATTTTATGATTTGTGCAATAATCCACAAAGTATAAATGTAAAAGTGAACTAACAGATTCGACAGATAATTAATGAATATCTTTGAATTGATAGATAGTTAATAAATATAAACTCTTTAAATAAATTATACTATATACTAATGTTCCAATTTTAATGTGTTGCTTCCATAACATTCTACATTATCTGCTGAAGAGAAATATAATTTTTGCAAATAGTTATTATCTTCCCTACATAGATGGTGAGAGTAGTTCTATTTCTCACAAACAGCTGATATTCTGTAAACATCAGCGTCTTCAGTGCAGCGTCTCAGCGGAAATAACTAAAATATCAATTGCAGAGTGTAATCTAAAATATTTTTGTTTCTTGCACATTGCATATTTATGAATAAATATATTTAAATAATAAAATAGGAGATAAGTGTGGAAATATTTATTCTATTGAAAAATGTTTAATACCAAATCTTTTGACGTTGTGAGTTTCAATTCAGAATTGTCTACGACAAAGTAAGTATATATTCACTATTTATGTATTATTGTAAAACACTTCAATATTTTTTGTTTTAATTAATAATTAAAATACATTATGTACATATTTTTTAGATTGGAAGCATCCGCAAATGTTCAAACTACAGAAATAGTTTTATACTGCTGATGATACGCAACCACAGATACAAGAAGTGTGGGGTATCTCTTATGCTATATTTTATTTGAATTTAGAATTTGATTCAATTTATTTAATAAAAAAGCACTGTGAATAAAAGTTGTAAATAAAATAGTGCTTCTCCACATCTTCTATACTTGATTTTTATATATTAAAAATTCAATTATTATTGTTTCAATATCATCTATTTTAAATAATTAATATATCATAAATTTTAAATAATTTATATATCATAAATATTAGGTTGCATCTTGTGAAATTCTTTAAAACATGTAATATTATTTTTAATATTTTTAGATTCAAACAATAAATGAACAAAACAACACCCAAGTAGATTATGACAATTGGCAGAATTTCTAAAGAGAGTTACACCAGGAGTCTTGGAAGTCCTTGATGAAACTTATGGTAGCAATGCTTTGATGATTATAACCCTAATGTTACGGAAGCTTCCTCTGCTAATGTAGAGATATTGAAAAAAATAAGTGCATTGAAAGAATCAGACACTCAGGTATGTTTTTTTAAAACAAGATTAGTAAGTAATCACATCATACACATGTATTGCTTAATGCCAAATATTTTGTAGATTAAAGTAAGTGATCTATCATGGAGCACCGTTGGTGGTACATTAGCAGTAGGTCTCAGTCATATCTATCATGAAGCATGGTGTGATCATCTTTCAACAATACAATTGTATAATTTAACAATAGAGGATAATCTCACCGATGCCCCTACCAAAACATTAGAGACAAATGGATGTATTACAACATTATGTTATCACCCAACGGAAACCTCTATTCTTGCAGCTGGATTGTCTAATTGTGAGTTTCTTTAACATGAATTAAAAAACAATATTAAGGAAAGTTAAAATTTTGTTATATTTAATAAATGTTCATACAATTTCTATTTTTTTTTTTTTTTAGGGGATGTATTAGTCTGGAATCTTAGAAATGATGATTATATTACACCCACACATGTGTGTACGCATAGTGACTGTGTATCTCAAGTGTATTGGAGACCGAGATCAGTGAACGACGTGACTCTATTATTAAGTTCCAGCAGAGATGGATATATACTGATTCACAAATTGACAGCTAACTTTACAACCGTCCAGTTGCATAAACGGTATATTACCAGTTGCATTCTCTTCCTCTCTTTTCGCGATATAATTAGATACGATCTTATTTATTTATGTTTATCGTATTTTAGATTCAAGATAGTCAAAGAACGTAATCCAGTGGAAAATGCTAGGCCACGCAGTGCTGGAGGTACTCGCGAACGCGCTGCAGAAGCAGGATTGTGTATCACGAGTTTTGATTTCTCTCCAAGACATCCTAGCATATTTGTCGTTGGAACATTATGTGGTGGAATCTATAAATGTAGTTTGGACAGTGTAACTCCAATCGAAGGTTCGTACCTGTTAAAAATGTGAGATCTTTATTATAAATAAAATATATTCTTCTCAATTTCAGGAGATGCCACGCTCATAGATCCCGTAATTGACGAATATGAAAGACTTGAAGGTAGCATTACCTGTATAAAATGTTCGCCGTTACGTAATTTATTTGTCATCAGTACTACAGATAAAGAGATCCGTATATACAATCTTGACGAGGTAAATTCTCTTCTATTTCAGATGTTTTAGGTTTTTTCTTTAAATATATTATCACAGTATCATGGCCCTATGGAAATAAGGAATAAGCACTTAATATTTGCATACATTTTTCAAGTTTCAATTTCAATCAATAGTTTTGCTAATAATTGAAACATTGAGTTTAAAAAAAATAAATTCTAAAAAAAATATTTAAAAGCTGAAATCTACATAATTTATACTATGAAAATATTAATTATTTGCTACAAATATTGTGTGAAACTGAAACAATATTAAACAAAGTATATATATATATATATATATAAATATATTTTTATCTTGCATGAATATATCATGACGTTAATAATAGATGCAATATCGTGTAAGAACGTGTAATTTTTTGCAAAACGTGACTTATTCAACGTTTACGGATGATTCATTTAATTATTCAAGGCCAGAGATAAGTTTTTAAAGTATTCGTTAATAAGCACAAGATAAAATTAATGTATATGATAAATTTTAAGGACAATTTGTAAATTTGTTATATATTAATATCAATTTCAATTTTATAATTTGTGTAATTGTTTGTTACATGGACACACGTGTAGCACGTTAGTCAGCAAACCATTTCTGTGGACAATACAGTTGTGGGATTAACATGGATGATTGGTAATCAAGATATATTTGCGGCATATGGGGCAGACGCGTATATAAAATTCTACAACGTCACGGATGCTAAACCGATGACGTGTGCAAAATTCGAAATAACTGGCAAACAAAGCATCAGCAGTTTACGCGTCAATTCCAAGAGGTACGCGCAAGCATAATTAAATTCGGATGACTCATCGTTCGTGGAAACTACTTTCTCTTTCTAATTTTAAACACGATGGTTACGATATTTGTATCTCGTTTGTTTTCCCTGGCATGTATGTGTTTCTCATTTATAAAAAGAAATGTTTCGTTAATTTTTTTATTAAAAATATTCAAGTCTCATGACTAGCTGAAATTTATGAAAATTGATGATACATTTATACATATAAAGTGAAAATAAATTTGAAATTGAAAAAGATCTAGAACAAAATTGAATATTTTAATTGATTGCGTAAATATTTAATTTTTATATTTTAAATTGCTAATAATATGAAAATAAGAGAAAACAAGAACTAGTATATACCCTTATCTTTTATGCATATATATATAAAATATATATTGTATATATAAATGTCTTTTCTATTTATGAAGTCAAATGCGATTGCACAATCATGTACTCACAATTCCAACGCAAAATTAACAAAAAATATTGATAAAAAAATTATATACTATAGAAAAATTAATATGTATTTTACTTATTTTTAGAGATATTCTGGCTGTTGGAGATGTTCGGGCAAATGTTGAAATATGGAAATTTCCACGTCACTTGTTTTGAATACAGTTTTGATCGACGCCGATTACTTGTAATATTTGCTGAATGGACTGACACCACTACATATATTCTACATCGCACATGTATATCTGCGTTTTTATGTGAATAAAGTATTTGAAACACTGATTTTTTTTCTCTCTTCATAGCGTGTTTTTTTTATTCCTCGATAGATAAGGAACGACACGCATAATTCTTGGAAATGTTTATCTCTCGGATTAGGGGCATCGCTATTTTATGATTGAAAAAATATCCATCAAAGATTATTTCTGAAACAGAGATAAAATTAAGAAACATATTATACATACATTTATAAAATAAGTTATTAAACAATTTAATAACTAGTATATTTTGTACTTTTCAATCTTATTGAAGAATAAATATAGTTTAATAACAAATCTATCTTCACATTTGAACTATTTCTAATTTAAATAAAATTAGCAATATTTGAATATCAAAAAAGCTAATATTATACTCTATAAATTATGCAATGCATATAAATAAATCTATTACCTCTATATGTATCGATATGTTTATACAACTGCAATCTGAAAAAAATAATTTAATAGGAATAAGGGAAAATATACTTTATTTATATTTCAGATACGATGAAGAGTTTGTCCTGAAAAGGACAGTTATGTATATTGCAGATGCTTTGGTGGTGTTCCTTGTCCTTAAAAGGACAGTTATGTATATTGCAGATGCTTTAGTGGTGTTCCTTGTCCTTAAAAGGACAGTTTTGTGAAGTTTGTCCTGATAAGGACAGTTTGTATGCACACTTGTGTGTATGTTTATTGCTTCAACCAAGAAATGCAGCATCGTCTGTGATGCATTTGCGGGTCCCTAAAGGGACCCTAACAAAATGAAAAGGATTATGCGGGAGAATCTGGTTTAAAACGGAATACAAGGAGGTAGGGAAATGATGGGCAAAATCAAAAAGTCGATTCTCTCGTTAAAAATATCTTGTAAATCTTGAGGACGGCCAAAAATTGTGTTGAAATTTTTTCTCCTCTTTTTTTCTATTTTTGTAAAATAATTTTCTTCTTTTCATTTTTGGAAAAGGAATAATAGGGAAGGGAACAATAAGGAATGGGATGATAAATGGAAATTTCTTCTACTCCATCTTGATGATTTTTTTCATCGCTTCTCACGTCATATGGAAAGATGTTGGCTCCATTCTGTTCAACTTGTACAAACTTTAAAGGTTCTCTCATCATGTCGTTTAAAACGCGACAGCACCTTTTTTTTGCGAAACTCGTCAAACGAGTCCGCAACTCGTCTCCTCTTCTTCTCTGTTTCTCCAATCTTCACCATCCGAATCCAATCTCTGATATCTTTCTGACTTGCTTGTTTTCTCTCCTGTTCGCTCCTCTTTCTCTTTTTGTTTAACAATGATATGAATATGTGTGTTACACATGATTCACATAAACATTTCGAAATATATGAACTCCGTCCCCGTATAAGTAGATGTATAATCATGCCGCGCTGAAATATACTCTGGAAGTCATCAAATATCCTCGGGAACGGAAAGTTCTAGTAAAACTCACTACGATTATCTCCGTACTCTCGACTGTTGCATAAAGATTCCGCTTGGATGTCTTCGCGTGATCGAGGAATCAAAACTCCACGTTTGTTTCCCTGGTTATCGTCGACCGGAATCGATTTACCGCATATTATTGCACGCCAATTTTTTCGACTGCTCTTTGGCTCTCAATTTGTTCCGCTTCTTCTCTCCGTCAACAAGCTTTCTCATTCTCGTATCTCTTCCTTGGACTCTTTTTCTTCTCCCGCATCTTTCATCCATTCATACAGGCCAATCTCTCTCTCTTTCTCTCTCTCTCACTTTCGCTCTTTCTTTCTCACTGATTTCACCTTCACACTTATAATTTTTTTGGTGCCTTTTATATTCAAAAAGACATTTTCTGGTCCGTTTTTCTTCTTGGAAATCTTTGACACTCGCTCCATTCTCTCATTCATTCATTCATTCATTCAGATTCAAGATATCGCTCTGCTAACGAACGGAGAGCTTTTTTTCATATATACTTGCTGCTCCGCTCTTTGCCCCGTGTCTTGATGTCATTCACACCCGAAAAACTTGCATTTTCTTACTCTTCTTCCTATTTCTTTCCCTTTCTTCTTCCCTCGTCACTTCACTCATATGTCGAATCTTTGCTACTTCCTCATTTTGTTTCTTCCTCGAGAAACGCACCGACATTATAAACGTGCAAAGCAAAGTATGATATAAACAGTTACGCTCATAAGCAAGACTCTTCCTCTCTCTCTCTCTTTTTCTTGTCGAGCGTGTTAAGCGAACAACTTCCGGAAAGCCTCCACCTTTATTATATGCCTATATATTGTTCCAATAAAGTCTTTGTCTTCGATTTCCATCTCCTATCATATCTCGATCTCCCGATTCTTTTAATCTCCATCGATCTTCACATCTCTTCTTATACATGCCAAGAATAAAGACAAAGAAAGTTATGGCGATTCCTGGCGCGCAGCTTCTCGACGAACCGCAACAGCGACAGCGAAATTAGCATCCGTCAACCTTCCATTCTCTCTTTCTTGCCGACTCTTTATTCTCCTCGTCGGACGCGCAAGCACGAGAACGATTGTTTCGCGGCGAAAACAATGGGATGCGCGTCGAAAGGTGGCCATCAGCTGATTATCCACGTGACCTTCTACTCGTCTCTTCCGCGCAATCAATCACGACGATGCCATCGCCACGATCTCTCGGTACCGCATCTCCTCTTCTCCTTTCGAACCGTCCCGAGCAGGTAAAAGGTTTTGTTTCTCTCGGCTGTGTTGTATCCTGAAGATAATTGGCTGGAATACTTCTGTCGAAGACAATTTCTTTTTGTTGTTGTTGAAAACCACGGTTCTTACAGCTCTCAGGTATATTTTGTCCTCGCGAATGCGTATCGCGGAAGTCTCTTGCAAGAATTGTGTCTGGTACTGGATTGTTGGGGATGCAAACCTCGGATTATTGGATCGTCATCGTGGATGAACAGGCACGATCGATAGATTTCGTTTTTGCGCGTAACGACGAGAGCCTTCTCTTCTTTCCCTTGCCACCTTTCTTCCCTCCGTCTTCTATCTTCTTCGTCCTCTTTTATCTTCTCTGCACTCGGTCGTAATGGATCTTGAACCAACGGGATCGCCAATGGAAACTACACTTGCACAACTTCCGGAAGTCTTCCTTTCTTCTCGCGTAGCAAAATAATTATTTCCCTCTTAGTCTGTTTACAGACGAGAGTATCCACCTTCTCTCTCTCATGCGCGTTTTTTTAATTCGCTTATTTACATCTGTTTAAATGTGTATCATTGTCTATATTACTATCCTCTCAATCATCGTCGATCGATGATCCCTCCTCATGTGTAAACCGCTTAATCTTTAATCACGATATAATACACGATGTCTATTACGCTCCGGTCGGACCTTAAAAGTATTTAGCTTTTTGTTTTTTCTTTTACATTGCTACATAGTAGATTACGACTCTATCTCTTATGTACTCTAGAAACCTCGAGGGTTAATTGCGTCTCGTCGTGCCCATGACAGAAATTGTCAGAGAAACACGGAGGGGGGAAAATCATCGTCGTTATCATTTGTCATCTCGTCAACGTTGTTATCATCATCACAGAGATCGCGACTCGGTTATTCTTAATAACTATTATTAACTTCCTCTAATAGATTCGCAGTTCTTTATCACTTTCTCTCTTCTCTCTCTTCCTTTCTCTCTCACACTCTCGCTCGCTTTCTCTCTCTTTATAGACAACGGTCACAATCAATACCGTTATCTTCTCGCAATCTCATATAGACATACATTTTGTATCGACAAAAAAAATGTCATTATTCAAGGTTCTCTTACAATACTTTCACGTCGATCTGCGCGATCGTATTGTCTATAATCCTGTCATTCGTACATTACTATTCTCTCCAAGATTACACAACACGCTTGAATTGCTCGATCACGATCGGCTTTTATATTTTTGCAAATACAAAATGTATGCAACTATAATGTATGCACTATGCATATATATACGAGAGTTGTTTCTTTCAAAAGCATTTGGTATCCTTAGGAATATGTCATGTCAATTTGCTCCCGCGTCTCATTTATATTTATATTTTTTTTTTTTTCATGGTTTTCCGAGATCGCGCTCATACCTACTTTTTTTCAAAAGAAACAACTTTCGTAATATTTATCAAAGCATCACACATTCTCTTTCTTTCTCTATCTCTCGCGCGATAATATGTATTTCTATCATTGTTCCATTAAAGCAGACCAGAGTTTCGAGAAATAATTCAGTACAGCGATGCTCAAGTATAAAGTGTAAACTTACGAACGAACGTAGAAGAAAAGACGTAGAATAAAATTGCGTGCTCGAACGAGGGAGGAATATGCGTGCACACGTACATGCAAGAGAAGTTTATTTCTCTTTATCTCGTAAATTTCCACAAAACTTTCGATGACGTTACCGATTTAATTTTAAAAGCATGTATTCATTAAATACATCTTATTCTGGATTTTCTTGTTTTTGTAAGATTAATACCGCCGAACATGTGGGTGAATGCAATGCTTATATTTAAATATAAAAATATAAATATTTTATATATACATATATATAATAAACTTTAAAATAAATTTTCAAGT